TGAGTGAAACTCGGCGTCATACGGCATCTGACATTGATGAGAAATTGAGAATTTGCGCATTGGCCGACGAAGTTTCGTTGTGTTGTATGTTTGAGTGCAATCGACGATGGCAAAATTGGAATGCTTATTCTATCCATGTCCATCCATTTCCCACAGCAGCCGCCGCCCCGTGGTACTCGCTCCGGAGCGCCTCCGCGTCGCTCCTACCATCCAGCGCCCGCGTCGCCAGGTGAAGCTCGATCCCGAGCTGCGCGTCCCCCTCTGAACCGCTCGTTGGTCACCGGAGCCCATTGGTGAGTAGCTCCTCCTCCGCCAGTCCCTCTACTTCCTCCTTCCATATCCTCCATCTCTCATCTTTCGTATTCTTTCTCGTAGCCATGGCAGCCCAAGGAAGCTCCAGTTCAGCCGCCATCTACGGTGGAGCCAAGCTCGACCCAGAACGCCGCCACCCTGCCAGAGCTCCCCGCCACCGGATCTGCGTCGCCCCTCCTCGGATCTGTCCATCCACGCTGCTACGAGCCCCGTCTGCCATCGCGTCCTTCACATGCCTCCTGCACCGCCGCGGAGGAGCAGCGCCTCGTCCAGTTCGTCTGTTATCAAGACTTTGGAGTGATGTATGCATCAAGTGCGATTTGTTTTTTGTACTGCTAGAATAGTGTGGGTGGTAGTTGTTCCCAGAACCCACTAACATACCGGGCACTATGCATCTACTGTACCATGTAGATTGATTCTATGTAAGTGTGGGATTTACAACCTTCACTGATTATAATTAACAAGGACAAACACCAATTATAGTTCTATTCCCTGATGTAGTACTATAGTTTGTTTTGCGTTATTGGAAATTTGTGGTACGAATGTGAGGTTGGGGAAAATGAGTGGCAATAATATCAGGTTTTTTTTTCTGGACCAGGTGTTTTGTTCCTTGTTTCCTTATTTTGTGGCAATGTTTAGCCTGGTAACTTATACGTTGTTTAGCCTTGCAGATTCTAGTGTGTCAGCATGATATGTGTTCAACTTCGCATCACTTTTTGCTTAGCAAAATCTGTATGATTTTGTTTGTAATGTGTTAGCTTGTTTGGCTCTTTTTTCAGCATGGTATCTAAACTGTTTATCTTGACAATTCATATTTTTTAACTCGAATTTGTTTCCACTCAGCTAGAGCCCGATAACTTATACGATGTTAGTCTGGTAGCTTTCTACTGTATCAGCATAATAACACTCACTTTGATAGCATGTTTTAACTCATTTTATTTTTCAGCATGGTAATTCAATTGTTTCTACCTGGTAATTCATATGTTATTTGGCCTGATAATTATACCATGTGTGGTAGTTTAACTTGATCTGCTTCGAACACTTTAACTTTACGTTCAACCTGATAACTTATGCAACTTGATGCTGATAAATTATAATATGTCAGCACGATAGGTCGTGATGTGTCAGAATGGTTAACTCGGGCTGCTTTTTTCAGCAATCATATTTTTACTTCATCTTGATGACTTATGCAGCTTGAGCCTGATAACTTATAATATACTATGTATCACCCTGATAAGTTCAAGTATGTGGGCATGATAACAACCAATTTTGTTAGCTTGATTAATTCTTTTTTTCAGAATGGTACCCTAAACAATTTCTACATGATAATTCATACTTTTTAGCCTGATAATTCATACCTTTTTGGCCTGATAATTATACTGTGTGTAGCAATTTAACTTGTTCCGCTTTCAACACTTAATTTTTTACTTTCAACATGATAACTTATGTAACTTGAGACTGATAAGTTACAATATGTCAGCCTGATAAGTTGTGATGTGTCCGAATGATTAACTTGAACTACTTTTCAACACTCATGTCTTTACTTCCACTTTCACTTTTATTTCCCTATTTAACTCATTTTGTTTTTTAGTGTGGCAACTCCAATTTTGTTTCCACCTGATAATTCATATTGATTTAGCTTGATAAATTACATTATGTCAGCATGTATAACTCTAACCGCTTTCAACACTTATAATTTTACCTCAACCAAATAACTTATGTGACTTGAGCCTGATAAATACAAAATGTCGGCGTGATAACTTGTGATGTGTTACAATGTTTAACTCGGTCTGCTTTCAACACTCATGTTTTACTTCATCTTGATGACATATGCAGCTAGAGCCTGCTAACTTCAAGTATTTCAGCATGATAACAACCATTTTTTGTTAGCTTGGTTAATTGAATCTATTTTTTCGGCATGGTATACTACTTGATAATTCATATTGCTTTAGCCTGATAAATTATACCGTGTGTATTGTTTAATTTGATTTTGCTTTCAACACTTTATTTTTACATTCAACATGAGAGCTTTATGCAACTTGATAACTTATATAGTGCCAGAATGTTTAACTCACACTCTTTTAGCTTGTTCAACTCATTCTTTTTTTCCAGCATGGTAACTTAAATTGGTTCTAGCTGATAATTCATACTGCTTTGGCCTCATAACTCACACTGCTCCGGCTTGATAACTTATAGTATGTCAGCATGCTTAACTCTACCCTTGTGATTTTGTGGTGACATGCATATGTGATCATATCTCTAGGTTTAGGAAGAATTTTACATAGTTAGCAGATTGATTATGCTAAATTCTCACCATGGCATGATGCAGGTTACCCAGCTTGCTAGGTAGTAGCAAAAACACTACAGTAGTGATGTAGTTACGTGGGTGGTTGCGATAATATCTAGTATTCGAATTGATAACTGTCCATGAGTAGTTCAAACAACCGATGTAATGTTGCCAGTAAAAAAACATATGAACAATATGGGTAACTCGGGTAACTCTTTACAGAATCAAGAACATTCGACCTATAAGTCATTGAAATGTTGCCAAAAACTTCCTGTTTAATTTGATGCCTGATAAGTCTGGTGTGAATAGTGTTGGGGAACATAGCAGAAATTCAAAATTTTCCTACGTGTCACCAAGATCTATCTATGGAGAAACCAGCAACGAGGGGAAGGAGAGTGCATCTACATACCCTTGTAGATCGCTATGCGGAAGCGTTCAAGAGAACGGGGTTGAAGGAGTCGTACTCGTCGTGATCCAAATCACCGGAGATCCTAGTGCCGAATGGACGGCACCTCCGCGTTCAACACATGTACAGCCCGGTGACGTCTCCCATGCCTTGATCCAGCAAGGAGAGAGGGAGAGGTTGAGGAAGACTCCATCCAGCAGCAACACAACGGCGTGATGGTGGTGGAGGAGCGTGGTACTCCAGCAGGGCTTCGCCAAGCACCGCAAGAGACGAGGAGGAGAGAGGTAGGGCTGCGCCAGGGAGAGATCAAATCGTCTGTGTTGCAGCCCCTTAACCTCAAGTATATATAGGGGAAGGGGAGGAGGGTGCGCCCCCTTTAGGGTTCCCACCCCTAGGGAGCGGCAGCCCTAGATGGGATGGAGGGGGGCGGCCAAGAGGGGGAGAGGGGGCACGCCCTAGGGTGGGCCTTAGGCCCATCTGCGCCTAGGGTTTCCCCTTTCTCCTCCTAGCTGCGCCTTGGGCCTTGTGGGAGGCGCACCAGCCCACTCAGGGGCTGGTCCCTTCCCACTCTTGGCCCATGCAAGCCTCCGGGGCTGGTGGCCCCACTTGGTGGACCCCCGGGACCCTCCCGGTGGTCCCGGTACGTTACCGATAAAACCCGAAACTTTTCCGGTGACCAAAACAGGACTTCCCATATATAAATCTTTACCTCCGGACCATTCCGGAACTCCTCGTGACGTCCGGGATCTCATCCGGGACTCCGAACAACATTCGGTAACCACATACAAACTTACTTTATAACCCTAGCGTCATCGAACCTTAAGTGTGTAGACCCTACGGATTTGGGAACCATGCAGACATGACCGAGACGTTCTCCGGTCAATAACCAACAGCGGGATCTGGATACCCATGTTGGTTCCCACATGTTCCACGATGATCTCATCGGATGAACCACGATGTCGAGGATTCGATCAATCCCGTATACAATTCCCTTTGTCTAGCGGTACGATACTTGCCCGAGATTCGATCGTCGATATCCCGATACCTTGTTCAATCTCATTACCGGCAAGTCTCTTTACTTGTTCCGTAACACATCATCCCGTAATCAACTCCTTGATCACATTGTGCACATTATGATGATGTCCTACCGAGTGGGCCCAGAGATACCTCCCCGTTTACACGGAGTGACAAATCCCAGTCTCGATTCGTGCCAACCCAACAGACACTTTCGGAGATACCTGTAGTGTACCTTTATAGCCACCCAGTTACGTTGTGACGTTTGGCACACCCAAAGTATTCCTACGGTATCCGAGAGTTGCACAATCTCATGGTCTAAGGA